CTTCTTCAGGGAGATGTCTCCTGACCCTCTCCCTATCCCAGAACCTAACTCTCATAGCACCTTTTACTTTTCCTGAATAGCACTCACCCAAATTGTAATAAAAGAATTGCTTGTTTATTTATTTAAAGCCCATCTTCCCAAGCAGTCAGAACCCTCCAGGAGGGCAGAAATTCATATCTCTGTTGATCAGTGTTAGGCACATGGCAGGAGCTCAATGTGTATTTTTGAAGAGACATTGGTGATCCTAGGTATATTATGTATATCTCTTCTCTCAGGATGGATTAGGTATTTCTTATCTAGACTAAGTTGCACAGTGTCTGTACTGGCACTTATCACAGTGAGGGCTGACCCTATGCTATTAGAGAAAGAAGGCTAAAAAGAGGAGAACTCTGAGCTGATTGGAAGGAACTAAGTAAGACCAAATACTTTCTGGCAGAAAGGTTTTTGGGCAGCAGGAGGCTGTTTCTAGGCCCCAGGCCAGGGTGTTGAGCAATGTTTGCATTTCTATGAGAGCTTCTGCCAAGAAGCAGAAAACTGATGAGTGACCTGTAAGTGTAGCTCACATTCTGGGTGACTCAGAGTTTATGGTATTCGGGGGAAAATAGTGTTGAATAGAGGAAGACAGCCATGCGGGTGCTTGGGCAGGAAGTTTGGTGAGAGGTCTTCTTGAAGGCCACAGTAGGATGGCTTCCCTTGCCAAGCACTACCCAGGCCCTTCAGGCAGTGTTAAGTTACAGACCCCGGGCAAGCTGCTTGTGGCTCCTCATTGCTTCCGCAGGGTCCCCAGCCCTCTTTTAGCGGGTTGTTTCATAGCAACTATGGCTTGTTTTACTTCTTCAAAGTCATGAAGCCAAATGGCCTATCCTTTTGCTTTCTTTTGCACTTTCAAAAATTAATTTTTGGTTACAAAAGCAATACATAAATACATTTATCCTCTAAAACAGCGGTTCCCAACCTTTTTGGCACCAGGGACCGGTTTCCTGAAAGGGGTGCGTGTCTGGGTTAGACGTGGAGCGGGGGTTGGGTGGAGGGAACCAGGAGGCGGAGCTCAGGTGAGCTTCCTGCCATGTTCAAGCATGCGCATTCCAGTCCACTCTCCTTGGCTACCAGGTTATGCCAATGTTGTGCAAACCGTTTTTGGTATATTAACTATGGCTGGACTTTTTCTGGACAGACCTCATAAGCAACATAGACAATCTTGGAAATTATGGAAAAACATAAATAAAAACCACCTCAAGTCTTGTCACTGAAAGAAAATCCCTATTAGCATAACACAGTCTCTTTCTGGTCTTTCGTGTGTGTGCATGTACATATTTTTGCCCAGTTGAGATCACATTGTGTACACACACACATATAATTTGCTCAGTGCCATGGTCTTTAGACACAAACTCTGACCTTTTCCAAATGCACTTTGGTTGTGGTGGTTTTAGACTAATTTCCAACTCCTATTCCTTTTTTCCACATATCCTGAAAAATCTAGTAGGTGGGAGGTCCAAGGTCTGTCCTCAGCTGACCTGTACTGAAGTTGGCTCAGAAACACAAGAGGGTAGTAATGCTCCAGCAGAGCACCTAATAAAAAATACTGGTTTTAGTTGACTGCAAGCTCAGTTAGTCAATAGCAGGTGCCAAGAACTTTATTGTGTGAATGCAAAGCAGTAAGTCCTACAAAGAGAAAGTTACAGTCTTTCCTCAATCTGATGGTGCCATGCACTTTTGGTTGTTTTGGGTGACATATGCTAAAAGAGCCACAATCAGACTGACTAGGTGCATGAGGAGTATGAGGGTAAAAACCTATAAAACCCAGTCAAAGGAGGAACAGTGGAAGGAATGGGAGATACTGGTTTGGAGTAGGTCAAGAGAGAGATTAGATCTGTTTTTTTCTCTGAGGTTCCAAATGATATGACTTGGGTCAGAGGGTGGACGTTTCAGAAACACTTTCAAACTGGTCAGAACTGCTGGGATCAAGGGATGCATTGCTCTGGAAAGAGTGGGCTTTGCGTCTTCTTGCAGAAGCAAATTGGTGGTGGTTGGTGGGGACGTCCATAAACATTTCTTGAGTGCTATGTGCCAGGATTGTGCTGAGGACCTTCCATTATCCTTTTTGTTGATAATTTTTAAAAATTCTCAGTTACAGTTTACATGCAATATTGTCTTAGTTTCAGGTGTAGAGCATAGTGATTAGACATTTATATAACTTATGATCACCCTAATATGTCTACTACCCATCTTACACTGTACATAGTTATTAAAATATAGACTATATTCCCTATTCTGTACTTTTTTTCCCTATCCTGTTTTTATAACTGCCAATTTGTCCTTCTTAATCCCTTCCCCTTTTTCACCTATTTCTCCCCTACCTCTCTCCTATCTGTCAAGCATCAAAGTCTTTGTATCTATGAGTTTGTTTCTGTTTTTTTTGCTAGTTTATTTTTTTTTAGATTCCACGAATAAGTGAAATCATATGGCATTTATCTTTCTCTGTCTGACTTATTTCACTTAGCATAATACCCTCTAGGCCCAACCCTATCGTCACAAATTTCATTTTTTTTAATGGTTGAGTAATATTCCTTGTATGTATATGTACCACATCTTTATCCTTTTGTCTCTTCATAGACACTTAGGTTGCTTCCATATCTCACAATGAACATAGTGGTGCATATGTCTTTTCAAGTTAGCGTTCTGTGTTTTTTTGGATCAGTACCCAGAAGTGGAATTTCTGGGTCATGTGGTAATTCTATTTTTAATTTTTTTAGGAATTTCCATACCGTTTTCCATAGTGGATGCATCAATTTACAATCTCATCAACAGTGCATGAGGGTTCCCTTTTCTCCACATCCTCACCAGCACTTCTTGCTTGTTTTATTTTTATTTATTTTCCCATCACCATTTATCCTCCCCATACTCTCTTCCACCTCCACCCACCCGCTTCCCCGCCAAATTTGCCACACTGTTGTTTGTTGACTTATTGATGATAGCCATCCTGACATTCTGGCAGGTGTGAGGTGATTCCTCATTATGGTTTTAATTTGCATTTCCCTGATGATTAGTGGTGTTGTACCTGTATGGTCAATTAATCTGAGAAAGAAGGCAAGAATGTACCATGGGGTAAAGACAGTCTCTTCAATACAGGGTGTTGGGAAAACAGGACAAATGGAAAAGAATGAAACCAGACAACTTTTTTATACCGTAAACAAGAATAAACTCAAAACGGATTGGCTTAAATGTTAACACCTGAAACCATAAAATTCCTGGAAGAAAACAGAAGCAGTAAACTCTCTGATATTGCTGTTAGTAACTTATTTATTTATTTTTTTTGGATATGTCTCTTTGGGCAAGAGAAACAAAAGAAAAACTAAACAAATGGGACTACAATTGAACTAAAGAGTTTTTGCACAGCAAAGGAAATCATCGGCAAAGTGAAAAGACAACCTACTGAAAGAAGATATCACAACGATACATCCAATAAGGGATTAGTATTCAAAATATATAAAGAACTCATACAACTTCAACACCAAAACAACAACAACAACACACACACCCCACCCCGAAAAAAAACAACCCCAAACAATGCGATTACAAAAATGAGCAGAGGACCTGAACAGACATTTCTCCAAAGAGAACATACAGATGGCCAACAGACACGTGAAAAGATGCTCAACTTCCCTCTGTTATTTCATTCCGCCAACACCCTATGATGCATTGTTATCTATGCCTGTATTGCAGATGAGAGAATGCTGGGTATTGTGAGGTCAGGTAACTCTCCCAGTGTGCCAAACAATTTGTTAAGCGGTGGAACTTCTATTACAATTTTGACACTCCAAAGTGGGTACTTCTGGTCATCAGTGGGATTCAGGCCTGATATGGGGCTTTGGACTCGAGGGACCTTGAAGTCTGCCGGACTAGAAGATTCTGTGACTGGGAAAAATGATGTGCCCTCCCCCCACTAAAGGAAAGGCTCAGAGAGTACGCCGAGAGGCAGCAGAAACGGGCGAGGTAGTCTGGCGCCCTCCCGAGGGACCCCCGGCGAAGGCCAAGGGATATAGACATAAAGGACATGTAAGGGTTGTCAGTGTGCGTCACCCCATAGCTGGGTAACTACGGCTGTGCTCTTGTTTGAGGAACCGCAGACCCGATAGAGGAACCGAGCCACAGGTCCGCATCGCCGCTTCCCTCGGGCCGCGCCTCTAGGGAGCGTCGCTGCAGCCTGGTTCTGCGGCGGAGCCGGGTGTCGGAACAGCGCGCCGGTCCCTGGTTGGCGCGAGCTGGGGGCGGGGCCGAGACGGCGAGTGTGAGGAGGGTGCGCGCTGAGGCGGCTGCGGCAGTTGCGCGCTAGGATTGCTGCCGTGCGGTGGGGACGGTGAGTACGGCGACTTCGGCTGGCGGGAGGGGAAGGAGGGGTCTAGCGAGCGAGCCTGAGAGGAAGGAGGGTGCGAGGCCGTGCGCGCTACTCGAGGCGGGGGCCGCCCCCTACCCCTATTCCCTGCACCCCTCAGGCCCCTCTCTCACGCCCGGCGGGCCCCGCGACTCTGCACCCGCGTCTTCGCACGCCCTGCAGCCCCGGGTCGCCCCTGCCTCTGGGCAGCCCCTTCCTGCTTGCCGCGGCGACGCCCCTAGCCTCACGTCACGCTCGCGCCATTGTTTCTCCGCTCGGCTGGCTCGGACCCGCCTTCGCTCTGGTTCGCGGCCCTCCGCCGCCTCGAAACCAACCTCTCTGCGTTCTTTCCTCCTCCCACCCCCAGCATTTTTCTCACGGTGGTGGCAGCCCCCATCCTGCCTCAGGGAAACGCCCCTTTACTCAGGTCTGCCTATTTTTTCTGAGTGACGCCGGCTCTTCTCTCGTCCGCGCCCGAGGCCAGCTTTTCCGCCCATCTTAACCAACTTCCCACCGTGGCGCGTTCCGGGTCGACCCGGGAAGCTAGCGGCCGCTGTGGTAGGATGCAAGGCTGACGGTGTTTTGTAAGAACCACAAGAAGTTGATAGCCCGCACGCCAGTTTTGTCGTTGCAGCACTTCCTGGAAAGCTCACATCGAATGGCAGGCCGCCATAAAAACATTTCCAAATGGTTCCCAAGTCAGGAGTCAGCTGTTCAGTGGCGGTCTGTTCCTCTCCCTTTCCTGGGACCCCTGAAACCAGAGAGCCGGGAGTGAGCTGCAGATTTGAGGCCTCAGCCATTAGGTGTAAGCACGTTTTGGGGGTTTGACTCCAGTAGGCCTCAAGCTTTTAGAAGCAGTAGGTAGAGCTGGTATCAAGTTTATATTTTTCTCCGTGCTTTCGTCTTTTGGGCCGTTGTGTTTGAGAGTTGTAAAATAACAGTGCTCCGCAATGACTAGTCACCGTGTCGGGGGAGGGGGCGGGGTGTGTGTGTGTGTGTGTGTGTGTGTGTGTGTGTGTGTTTCTTGGTGCGGACAGGTTTTTTTCATGATTATCTGTACACTTTTCATTTTGTCTCTCGAGGCAGCGAATGCAAACGCTGCTGTCTGTAATGTGAAAGAGTATTGAAACAGTGCCAATTACGTGGCGACTTAATGTTGTTCAGGTCTTTTAAATATTTACCACGACACTTCAACCATAATTAGATTTCTCCTGATGAAGACATCCAGGCCTGAAGAGGTTTAGTTAAAGAAGACAGAGCTAGTTAGCAATTAAAATCAACTCCGCATGCTGGGCTGGTGGTAACACACGCAGGCTTTATCTCTGAAATGCATTTCTATTGCAATATAAGCCACTACATTTCAGCAGTAGAGGGTTCTGTGTTACCCTCAGTAATCCAGAATTTAGATTTTAGAATTTAGTAATCAACTAATCTGCAAAGTAAGAGGGCTGAAGGAGATGTTCTGCAAGGTTTCATTCAGTTCTAAAATTTGATTCTATTGTATGAAAATTTACAATCAGCTGCAAGTTCCCAAAAATTTATAATTGTAGAAAGATTTATATAGATAGAATTCACTTACAGTACCTGGCAGCCTACTGTAGTGACATCAGGTGTATATGCCTAAGGAAAGCCAAATTACAGTGGAATGTTAAGAGGAGGGATAATTTATTCATCTGCCTCTGTTATTTCTACTGTTTCATGGGGGAAAGAAAGCACACAGAATATATTTTTTTAATGTGTCTTTTTGTTGCTTAACTCTCTTACCAAAAAGCTTAATTCAGTGAAATACTAAAAAAACCAACTTTATCACATTTGTAATTATGCTCTTTTCCAGTTGAGATCCAGTGTCCTAGCCCCCCACTCCTTATCTCCCCAGCTTCACAGCCACTGAAAAGCTAAATTTATTTTGAAATATGAAATTCCAAACCTACAGAAAATAGCGTAACGACTGTCTAATTATAGACCATCATATTTAGTTCGTGTGTTCCCCCTCATTTTCTAATTGTGCTCTCTTTTCATTATACAGGGTCTGGCACAAATAACACCCCCTTTTTAATTACATACCCTTTTATTAGAAAATCATAAGTATGTAATTCTGTAATGTAATAATATCACTCAGGCACACCATGTGACCTTTTAAAGGTGAAATGTTCAAATTACTGGCCATCTCATGCAAAACATTCGCTTTACCCTACCAACCACACTCAAACAAGCCTTCTGCCAGACTCTGTATTTTTTGAAGGGATAAAATTACAGATATAGTTGTGGCCTGTGTGAATCTTTGCTGTCCTATTCCACTCTCTTGCCCTCTCCCACCGGTAAACACTCATAGAATTCAGTAATTATTATTCCCATAATGTGTATGTATCCACAGAAGTGCATATATTCTTATTTAATATATATGTGATTCTTCAACTTTTTTGTTCAACACTTAAAAAATTTATTAAACTTATTGGGGTGACATTAGTTAATAAGATCATATAGGTTTCAAGTGTACCTTTCTGTGACACGAGATCTGTATATTCTACTGTGTGCCTGCCCACCACCTAAAGTCAAACCATCTTCTGTCGCCATATATTGGGTCCATTCCACCCCCCCCCAACCCCTTCCCTTTGGCAACTACCCTGTCTGTGTCCACAAGTTTCAGTTTTATACCCCACATATGAGTGAAATCATACGGTTCTTAGCTTTTTCTGACTGATTTATTTCATTTAGCGTAATATTCTTAAGGGGCATCCATGTTGTCGCAAATGGCAGTATTTTGTCTTTTATGGGTAGTATTACATTGTGTATAGGTACCACATCTTCCTTATCCAATCCTCTATCAAACATTTGGGTTGTGTCCATGTCGTGGCCACAGTGAATAATTCTGCAATGAACCTAGGGGGTGTATATATTTTTGTGAATGTATATTTTCGAGTTATTTGGGTAGATACCCAGGAGAGACATTGCTGGGTCATATGGTAACTCTTCTTTCTTTTTTGAGGAATCTCAGACTGTTTTCCACAGTGACTGTACCAGTCTACATTCCCACCAGCAGTGAATGAGTGTTCCCTTTTCTCCATAGTCTCTTCAAACTTAATACTTATCTTGTTGATAATAACAACATTGTTTTTTGATATATATCCATGTTGATAGATGTATCTTTATGGATGTTCAGGTATTTCTGATTTTTTTGCTGTTAATGCTGTAATACACATTCTTGGATGTGTCATCTTGTTTACATGTGAGAGAGAATTCTAAACCTAGGGAATTCTTAGGTATAGGGTAAAAGGATCTTCAACTTTATTACATAATGCCAAATTATTTTCCAAAGTACTAAATACAAAATTTCCAGGATAGTAGGTTGTGGGAGTTCCCATTTTTTAAAAAAGATTATTTTTTGAGAGAGGGGAAGGGAAGGAGAGAAACATCGATGTGAGAGAGAAACATTAATTGATTGCCTCTTGAACCTGCCCTTGTCTGACCAGGGACTGAACCCGAAACCCAGGCATGTGCCCTGACCGAGAATTGAACTGGAGACCTTTTGCTTTGTGGGATGACACCCAACCAGCTGAACTATACCAGTCAAGGCATAAGAGTTCCCGTTTTGCTATATCTTTACAAACATTGATATTGTCAGACTTTTAATTTTTAGAGCAAAATTAAATTTCATTTTAATTTGCTTTTCCCTGATTATAAGTGACATTAAACTTCTTTACATTCATATATTGTAAAGTTTCTTTTTCTGCAAATTGTTATTTATATCTTTCATTCTCTTTTCTGCTGTCTTGTTTGCTTTTCTGTCTTTGGTTTGTAGCTCTCTCTTTTTTTAAACATTGCAGTTTTGTGTGCTTTTGTTTTTTAAGATTTTAATTTTAGTCAGGGGAAAGGAGAGAAAGGGAAACATCAGTGTGTGGTTGCCTCTCACGCGCCCCCTACTGGGGACCTGGCCTGCAGCCCAGGCATGTGCCCTGACTGGAAAGTGAACTGGTGACCCTTTGGTTCAGCTCTCAATCCGCAGAGCCACCCCAGCCAGGGCTGTAGCTCTGTTTATACTTTATATTGATCCTCTCTCAGTTGTGGTGTTGCAGATATCTTCTCACTGTATAGTTCCTCTTTACTTTCTGTTGTGCAGAGGTTTTACATTTTAAAAAATATTTTATTTATTTTTTAGAGAGAGGGTAAGGAAGGGAGAAAGAGGGGGAGACAAACCTCTTTATGTGAGAGAAACACCTATCGGTTGACTCTCACACTCCCGCCACTGGGGACCTGGCCTGTAACCCAGGCATGTGCCCTTACTGGGAATCAAACCAGTGACCTTTTGGGTCACAGGCTGGTGCTCAATCCACTGAGCCACACCAGCCAGGGCAGGTGTTAAATTTTTACTTCTGCTTTTTATTTGAAAACTTTTAGTCCTGCAGAAATAAGAATTCATAGTTGAATATCCTAAGAACAATGATGTACTACAGACTGCAGTACAATTACCACATTTAACATGAATAATAATTTAGCATTGTTATCTAATATCCAGTGTATATTGAAAATTTCTCAGTGGTCCCCATAATGACCTTAATTAGCGTCTAGCGTCCCTGGTCCAGGATCTAGTCATCGATCATGAATTGCATTTAGTTGCCATGTCCCTTTAGTTACTTTCAATGCACAAAAAGTCTCCAACTTTTTGTTTACATAATATGACTATATTTGAAGACTACAGGCTAGTTGTTTTGTAGAATGTCCCTCAATTTGGATTTGTCTGGTCATTTCCTCATTCTCCCCCCCCCCAACCCCCGCCCCGGACATTTTCATTTGCTTTTTTAGTGAGAGAGAGAAACACTGGTGCGAGAAAGGCAACAATTGGTTGCCTTCCTACGCACCCAGAGTGGGATCTGCACTGGGACCAGGGGTAACCCGCGCCCTGATGGTCCTGCAAACTAGGCATGTGCCCTGACCTGAAATCGAACCTGCAAACTTTTGCTTGTGGGATGACACTCCAACCAGTGAGCCACACTGGCCAGGACTCCTCAGGGTTTGATTCAGATGAAGTGTTCTGGCAGGAATAAGCTTTACGTTTTAACAGTCATATTTGTCCCCCTTTACAGTTTGTGCTACAAAGCCTTCCCTACCTTGGTGTCATAAGGCTGTTAGTCTCTATTTTCTTCTAAAAGATAAATGGTTTTGTTTTACATATGTAGGTTTATATATGGTGTTATTATTTCTTAGCCTACCTTTAATATGGTGTTCATTTAACATTTGTGTTATACATCCTTTTTCTGTCATTGTTTTTGTCCTAAAATTATTCTCTATAAATTCATAAGGACAGGACAGCTTATGTTAGGTTCTAAATTTGGGCCAGAACAGTAGAAAGTAAACATTTAGACTTATCTATTACAGTCTAAATGTTTTACATTACAGATTTCCATTACTTTACAGTTTTTTTCCCTAAAGCAATTTGCTTGTGAGGATGACTATTACACATATTTTTCTAGTTATCCGGGGAAAACATTTGGCAAACTTTTTAAACTAGTCACATTGAGATCTAGGTAGACACGTGTATCTCAAGTTTATGTCTTAGAGCTGCTAAGTAAGCTGGCTAAAAGTATATAGGTTGAAACAGCTCAAACACTCTGTGTCAAAATTGTAAGAATTTTGTCCTGGCCTGGTGGCTCAGTTGGTTGGCTTATCATCCCCCACACCAAAAGGCTGAGGTTTTGATCCCTCTTTGGGGTATGTATGGGAGGCAATCTGTTGATGTTTTTGTTTCACATCCATGTTTGTCTGTCTCTCTCTCTCTCAGAAGTCATTGAGGATGTTCTCAGGTGAAGA